AATGAAATAATTAATTAAAAGAAACAAGAAGAGGAAAGCAAAAGGAAAATTATTATGATGAGATTGAGAAGGGAGCATGAGGAGATCTAGTTGGGGCTGTGGGCAGTGGGATAGCAGAAGAAGATCTGAGGAGGAAATACCACCTTCATGTCTGTCCTAGAACTTGTATTCCTTCCTATTTCCCCAAATTGCTGGGATTACAGGCATGTGATAACATGCTGGACCTGATAGTTTTCTTCATAATAGATGGTATTTGCTGATTCTTTCGAAACTGAATGACCCTTCCTTTAGCAAGATGATGTAAGGATATTTCTGTGCAGGAATAKTTATAAAAATGAAAGAGAAAAACAAGAGAAAACTTAAGCCAAACTAACAACAAAAAAAATATTGCCTAAAATTTTTCGATGGAATTGGGTTATATGAGTGAAAATTCTCCATAAGTTTCATTTCATGTAGTCCGTGGGAAATGAAAGGTATTTATTAATGTAAGTTATCATATTATCATTATAAACATGAAATTAGTAGTCAAATAATTTTTAAGGTTTAAAGGACCTTTGAGGGCCTTCTTAAATAATATGTTTACAGATGAAGAAAAGGAAATTACATGGGTGGGAAGTGACAAATTTAGGATGAGAAATGGCACCTCGGAACACACAGGCCAGCACACCTCCCCAGTAGCAAATGCCGTTTATCTATTGCTGTTTAAAAACTCCCTGGTTTCTTGCTTGCTCTCTGCTATAAAAGGAAAGAAAGGACAGGATCAGGGAGAGGGGAAGGGAAAGGAAACACAACAGCAATACTAAGCATCTGTGCCTTACCAACTGGAAAGTTGAGGATGGTAGAATTTTGGTATCTTCTCTAGTAGATTAACCCCCAATTGCAGGTTTATTTTTGCTTATGTTTCAGTTCAAGAAAAATCTAGATATTGTACTTTTTAATTTTTTCTCTCTCTCTTTTTGTTTTTGTTTTAAGATAACTTTACTGAGACATAATTTACATACCAACCAATTCATCCATTTAAAATGTACAGTTCAATATCTTTTTGTAATATCATAGTTGTGTAGCCATCATCCAAAKCAATTATAGTACATTTCCATTACTTCAAAATGAAATAGACCTATACTCCTAAATTGTAACCTGCTAAAGCCCCTAGAAACCAAACTTTAGGCCATCACTACTTTACTCTTTGTATCTATGAGGCAGTGTTCTGTTGGATCAATTCTTACATGTTGTCTGATTTTGAAGAGACCAATTCTAAATGGAAATTTTTCACAAAAGTCACGTGTCAATTTTTAAAAATAGACTTTGTAACTAGAGTTCATAACTAGGGATTTGGAATCACAAACTTCATGTTTAATGTTGAAATGATCATCATAAAAGCACACCCTGATGTATATTCCTAATTGTTTATTTTCACTGTGAGTTTTGGAATAATTGTGTGATTCTGCTTTTTAGTGTGGACATGCACCAGTATCAACAGTCACCCTATTATATCGATAATCTATTGCTGTGTAACTTGTTTGCATACATATAACAGTTTAAAACAACAAATTTGTTATTTAGTATATATGTAGGTCAGGAGTCTGAGCACAGCTTAAATCTGCAAGGGCTGCAATTAAGATGTCAGTCATGGTTGAGATCTGCTCTGAGGTCCTCTTCCAGGCTCAAATGGCTCAAATTGCCAGAAACATAGCTATAGGACTAAAAATGGTAGCTTACTTCTTTACAGCAGCAATAGAGAGCATTTCTGATTTCCATCTATGAATTTTAAAGCCTGTTCTAATGGCTAATCTGATTGAGTCAGACCTACCCAGAACAATATTCCTTTCACTAACTCAAAATCAGCTGATACGAGATGTTAATTACATTGAGAAATATAAATTTTCAGTTTATTGGAAAGACTATGAAACAGAGGAAGCTAATACTTATTGATTGTTATTATGTGTATACACTAGGTACTTTCACATTTTTATATTTAATTTTTATAATTGCTCTACCAGCAGGATGTTAGCAACACTGTTTAACTGAAAATGAAACTATGGACCAAAAAAGTTAAGGTCATATACCTAGCAAATTGATTAAGATTCAAACCAAATATGCATGATTTCAATGCCTGACCCTGATCTTCCAACCTTACAATGCTGTCTCCAAAAAGGGAGATAAGGGCTGACCTAAGAGAAGGCATACAGCCTCTGAAGACACAGCTCTCCTGCTCTACAATTTTGCCAAACCCAGTACATCTCCATTTTGAATTTGCCTTTCTGCAGCTGTACATTGAAATAAACTAGAAATTGTGAGTTTGTTGCAGCTTTCAAGAAAACCATAAGTGAAAACATAGCCAGTATAAAGCATAGCTCTGGTCCAGAAGCCCCACTCATTTGTAAGAAGGCTGATACGTGATTATACAATCAAACTTCTGGAAAAGCAGACTTAGGATATACTGCCTTAGGATGGAGGGGGAATTCTGTGTCTGCTGAGTGCATTTAAATTCTTTGTGTATATCTATGTGTRTTTTGATTTGCACATTATGCATATGCATATTAGCGGGACATTCATGAATGCACACAGCATGGTTTGCTCCAATTTATTCCCCAATAGTTCCCCATTTCCTTCTCCTTCTCTCTTTCCATTTTCCTTTCTCTGCTCTTCTGATTTGCCTTCTATTTACTAACATGTATACTTAGTTCATTAGTACCTTGTAATTATACACAAAGATGGGATTCATTGTGGCATATTCATTMATGCATAGTGTGGTTGATTTTGTTCCTTTGTTCTTCAAAATTCATGAAAGTAAAAGGGTGAATAGATTGGTTACCCACTGAATAATGACAGCAGAATTTACATTACTCAACTTTGGAAAACATGGTGCTCCTCTTTTCCCCTTCCATTCTTTATGGCCAAAGTTGCCTTCTTTATTTTCTGTGTGTTGACCATTCTTCTAGCTCACCCATGTGACTCACTGCTTCACCTCTTCAGATCTAAGCTCACATGTTATTACTAGTCTCTTTAATAAAATAGCATCCTCCCACTGCCTTAAACACTTGCATCCTTTCTACTTACTGTGATTTTTCTCCAATACTCTGATAACAAATCATATTTAATATTTTACTTAATTTTTTTTAAAAAAATTGTTCTCTTACTTGAATGTTCTATTAAGGCAGGGTTGTGTTCGCTACTTTTTAAGAGTTTTGCATACCACTGATATTTAAAAAATAATTGTTGAACAAATGAATTATTGTTTACCTAAATTTAAGAGAAACATTAAGCTATATTGACAAACATCAACTTAGAAGTCTTAGCCAGATGTGTTTCAGTTTTAGATACACTCTTACTATCTTAATGAATTTGTATATCATTTACGTTCTTTGTGCCTTAGTTTACTTATTAAATGTAGGTTGAATTATGCACACTTCATAAAACTGTTAATAGGAAATAATGCATGCAAAGTTTATGCTTCTTAATATGTACTTAGCAAATATTATCAATGTTAGGTATTATTAATTGGTCTAGATGTAATCACTAAATACTTAGAACATTTTAACATAGCTGATCATTAATTGCATCCAAAGACAAGTTACGACCTACACAATCTTAGTTATACCACTGCTAATGTCAAACTATTAGCTTCACATTATTTAAAAAAGAAATTAAGTTTTTCTTACCTGTAATAATTCAATTGATTGAACTCTTGAACTCCTAGGGCCTTTTACATGCCAGACAAATGCTCTTCCATTGAGCCACAGCTCCATCCTCAACTGATTGAACTAAGAAAACCTATGAGGGGCAAGGGGGAGGGGGGAWAAAGGGAGAGAATTGAACAACAGCAGAGGAGGTAGAGAGGGAAGATGGGAGGGGAGGGGAGGGGAGTGGGGATAGTAGGGGATAGGAAAGGTAGCAGAATACAACAGTCACTAACATGCCATCATGTAAAAATGTGAGTATGTAACAGATGTGATTCTGCAATCTGTATTTGGGGTAAAAAAGGGAGTTCAAAATCCAATTGAGTCAAATGTATGAAAGATGATATATCATGAGCTCTGTAATGTTTTGAACAATCAATTAAAAAAATGTAAAAAAAAAAATAAATAAAAATAAATAAAAATTAAAAAAAGAAAACCTTATATACTTGTTCATCAGGTCAACATTAATAATTGATAGGTATCAAGAGATTCAATGAAATAATTTTATTCAAGCCATTTTGATAGATTTGAAATGGCTGAATATATAGTTATCTAAATCTTTTTTAAATTTAAAGTAATGTTTGTATCACATAGAATAGGAATTTTATGAAGTATAGAAGTTCTTGKTCATAATCATGGATCCTATGGAGATTTCCTATTTTGATATCTTGTTGTATACTCTTTCACATTGAATATAGCTTATTGATCACTCATATATATATTTTTGTTTGTAATTAATATGATAACCTCTTATACATTTTTATTATTCCAATAGTAACTATAATTTTTCATGTCTCCTCTCCTTTTTTGGCAGCTATAGTTTCCACTTTCTAATCTCTCTCTCTTTTTTAAAAAAGTATTTGTTGGAATAATGTTCATGGTTTTCTTCTATGGACTTCTTTATCCTTCAGCAAAATTCACATTCATAAAACTTCCCAACTTTTAAGAAAACAAATTCTTAAAATTTTAATGCAGTTTTACTTAAGCTTATGAGTCGATTCTGTTCTTACCAATATCTCTTATCTTCAAGTTCAGTTCAGATCATCTATCTAGTATAGTTTGAATGATTATAAATTTATTTTCAAAAAACTTAAATAGCTTTTAAATAGCACAGCTTCATTGAATTCTTACAGAGTCACTATGGAAGCATTAATAAAATTACAGGCAGACTTCCATATGATTATTCTTTTGTAAATATCAGGATGGATAATRTGAACATTAGGCCTACCTAAGCCTTAGGAAAACATGAAGAGATTAGTATATTTATTGAGAAAAAGGAGAGGAAGTATAAACATGTAACTTTCTCTTTCTGTTTTTCAGCCCTAGGAAAAGAGAAGGATTACATGGATGAATCAGAACATGCTAACTATGATCGATCGCGTCTCATTAATGACTTTGTTATCAAAGATAAACCTGAATCCAAAGCAAAGTTATCTAAGGTAATGCAAACTAAACTACCAATACATCATTTTTATACTGAATTTTAAAAATCTTTGAATAATAGTTTACATAGTTTTTTTTTTTTGCTGAAGAACACAGAGAATCAGAAAAGTTAATATGTATCTTTATAAAGACTCAAACATGAATATTTATTTACAGATATCATATTCTATTTCTGTTATTAAATAATTTTATTTTATCAAAGTTTGCCATTTTCTTCTTTACACTCTATTCTTTGATATTGATTTACATGTAATAATTATACATATTTATGGGATACAATGTAATGTTTCAATACATGTATAAATTATAATGATCAAATCAGGAAAATTAGAATATCTATATCTTTAAAGATTTATCACTTCTTTGTGCAGAGAACATTCATAATTCCTTTTGAAATATATGGCACTTTATTGTTATTTTTAAATTTTTTTTTTAGTTATACATGGACACAATATCTTTATTTTATTTATTTATTTTCATGTGGTGATGAGGATCGAACCTAGGGTTTCAAAGGTGCGAGGTGAGCATTTACCGCTGAGCCACAACTCCAGCCCACGGCACTTTATTGTTAATTAYGGTCACCGGACTGTGCAATAGAACACCAGAACTTAGTCCTCCTATAAAACTAACATTATGTCTACCAAACATAATTTTAAAATGTTTGATCTGAAACATATAATTGTTCAGTAGTAGTATTTTTTAAGATTTTTTTCTTCAGTTTTCATATTTGTTTTAAAATTAGTATGGTTTAATAAATTCATACATTTTAGTCAAATGGACCAAGATTTGAACTCCAGTTTCACTAATAACTAGTTGCAATAACTTGATGATATTAATTATACTCAGTAGGCCTTTTTTTTCTCATCTATAAAAACTGAATCATTTCTGCTTGACAAAATTATTTGAAGGAAAAAAATGAGATAACTATGTGAATGTGTCTAGGGGATATTAAAGCTGCCCACAGGTCATATTTTTATAACAATTTGGAGATTGATAATACATCATTGATATTGTAGTTCATTAACAAATGCAATATTGAAGAAAAGTTCAGTTTTTACTATGCATCAAATAAAACGCTTTTATAGACACTTCAAAGCATCTGAGAATGACCATCTAGCACCAAATGTCAAATTGATGCTGCTTGTTTTTATCATTATAACTGCATCGGATTTATATTCCCCTTTGGTGCCTTCTGAGATAAATCCAAGCTCAGGCTAAGCTCATTTATTTTATTTTTCTATTGAATAAAGTAGGGATACTTATATTWAAAAAATGGGGTATTTAGTTTAAATCAAGGATTGAATTTTATTTCAATGATCATTGCACAGCTAATAATCACATTTTGACTATAATTTTATGAATGATATTTGATTTTATTTTGCTTAGATTAATTTTTCAAGTTCTTTATTAGTCACTACTGATGAATTTGTGAAGAAATATAGCAGAATTTTAATGTTACCTCAGAATCAAGAGTGAGACCAAACATTAATAGACTCAGGGCTAATTGTTTATAACAAGGTTCTTCATTTCTATTTCTCTGGGTTTTGTTAAAGAGGATTACAATTCTATTCCAGTGATTCTCAGATTTTCTTTGCAAGTCAGAGTTTTATCTCTCTGCATTAACTTCATGTGTTCCCTGTGTCTGGTCAACATCAAGGTATCTGGAAAATCTCTTTAATTTGTGAAGAACTATTTCAATTGAACCAATAGAAAGAATTATAAGAGAAATTGAGATCTTATCCCTTAGGGTGCTTATAATATTATTTTAAAAAGCTTTAAATAAATAGAAAATGAGCTAATTAAATATATTCTCTTATCTACCTCTTCAGAATTTATCACATTGCAAGCAGTGATATCCATCATTTTATTTCTAGTCATAGTAACCATTATCCAAATCTTTGACTAGACTTGAACCTTTATAATATTAATGTTAAAAATTATCAGTTAAACTTGCATTCATATTTTGGATTTGATAGTAAAATATCAGAATATTTTAACAGACCACAGTAGTCCAATTCAAAAAATCCTAGTGAGATGTCCTACTGAATCTGCTTGATTATCTACCCATCAACTATTCCACTTCTGCTCAAACCGGAAAAGCATCCAGAGTCACCCAGGAGACCACACTCCCAGCTTCTATCAAATTATGTCCACTTTTCTAACCATTTCAGAGGTTAGARTGCAGCACAATTTCCATTTGAAAAAGAGTTGTACTGTAATAGCAAAAAAAAAAAAAAATTGTTTGAAAGTCATTTAGCTAGAACTTGCAAAGTTTAGATACAAGGGAGGAACAAAATAATCCGCTCAGAAAATGCTTTGTGTATATTTGTCACAGGAAATCTGAAAAACAAAAATKCATTGAGCTTAATTTTTATTGATTGAACTACTAGCTGGATACTATATACTTTAKAAATTTGTTGGCCTTCTTTTCTTTACACCCCATATTGAAATTTTGAGTTTATGTGTGCATATAGTGGGGATATATCTTTTAAGTTGGATATCATGAAATTGATGATCTTCATTACTTTGTGACCCACAAATAGCTTCTTTATTAGGGTTCAAATTGACATATATATGTTAAACATATATTTATATTCACATTTATGAAGAATGGATATATATATATATATATATATATATATCTGATATACACACAGAGACTATTTTGTGGTACTGGGATCAAACTTAGAGCCTTATACATGATGGGCAAACATTCTACTACTGTGGTACATCCAGAGCCCTAATTTTTTGTACATATATTGAATTGCACATCTAAAAACCTATGCTTTACAGCACCAATCATTTGTGATAATAGCACTTGTTGTGATGTTCCTTGTGCACTTTGTGCATACTAGCTGATATTTTACTTTTTCACTAAAGTTACACAGTTGTTGCAAAGGGACCATTTTAAGATATGACAAAGCAAGTTCATAAACAGTCAATGGAAGGGGGAAATAATGTGTGGTGTAAAACTATGCAGCAAGTAATAACTAGAATTGGGTTATAGAAAACAAATAGGGCTTTCTAACAAACTTTGTCTTCAGCTATAGCTTAGGATCATAGAAAATAACTGTAGATCCTTTGAGGTAGTCTCTTATTCTGAATTTACGAGGAAGCTCAGTTAAAATTGTCAGATGTAAAATCAAACCAAGAAATCCAGAAATACATCTGACTAGTTTGCTAGGAATTGGGGTATAGATAGACTCTACATCTGTTTGAAATTTTTTTTGTCAATCATTGTGCAAACATTTCTTAACTGATTTTTAAGTCAGTAGTGAATTTTTATTTTTATCATGTATCCATCACTCAGTACATTTATAAACAAACAACTGTGTAGTTTTTTAGGCTAATCATAAGAACAATAAATTCTATCTTTAGAACATTGGTGTGTATGTGTGTGTGTGTGTGTGTGTGTGTGTGTGTGTTTGTGTGTGTATATGTATGTTTTGAATCCAGGTCCTCCTACTTGCTAGGCAAGTGCTCCATCATTGACCTATATCCACAGCCCAAACATTTGTTTTTAAATCATAAACTTCTAGTATGTGTTATTTTTACAGAAACTCTCATATTATAGAGATTAAAACCATTTATAATATTAGTATCTAATATTATGAAGTAAAATCAATAAAGCAATAGTATTTATTAGGAAGCTACTATGTGCAAAACTGGACAGAAGAAGACGGCAAATACTAAGGTCCAAGTATGAGAATGTAGTTCAGGAGATAGATATGTCTGTTTTTTTTTTTTTTTGATAGCCCAAGAAGCTATCAAAATTGGAGATGGCACTACACAAGATCTAAGTCTGTATTCAGCTAGCCTCAGGGTTACTTCATGTCCTAAAGTTAGGGAAATCTTTAAAAATCAATTATTTTCCAATAAATGCAAATAGAATTTATCATTTTAGTGTAGTCATTCCTAAGTGTCTGAGGGTGATTGGTTCCGGGATTCCTGTGGATATCAAAATCTACACATGCTCAAGTCCCTTCCATGAAGTAGAGCTAGACACACATTCCCCTATACTTTACATCTAGTCATCTGTCTTGCTTACTTATGACACCTAATACCATGTAAATACTCTGTAAATAGTAGATAATGTAGTAATCATGAGAAGAAAATAAAACTTAACATATTTGGTACAGATGCAATTTTTAAAAATATTTTCAGTGTGTGTTTGGTTTAGTCCATGTGAGTGGAACTCACAGATATGGAGCACTGACTATATTCACTTCAGGTATAATCTTGTCAATTAAAACAGCTATTTAAGTCCAATTTTAGTCATTCATCTAGTAGCTTAAGTTGTCACAGTCTCCTAATTTCTGGAAAATTGTGTATTATCACCTTCAGAACACTAAAAGCCCTATACAAGATTTGGAAGCAAAGAATAATTTAGGAAAGTGAAATTGTTAGAAAGGTTCACATGAAAGGTGATTGTAGAAAACTACTGAGGTCATCTCCTTCTTAACTTCCCTGTCATATGGCTAGTGATGCCAGTCTTACAGAAAAGTATTCCCATTACTCACCTGTTACCTGTTGAGTAAAAGAGGAACACATCTGCCAGTGCCACATGATACGAACTGAATAGCACTGTGATCTAATTTTAATGAACTGCTAAAATATTCATCTCAAGATTTTCCTGGTCTATTGCTTCTGCTGTCTGATTTGATACTCAACATCCTTTCAAAGAGGAAGTCATTGTAATTTGGAAAATAGATTCGTATCCCCAGACTCATTATGGGCAACATCTATAGTTGTTAATTTTGGCGTCTGAAATGATAGTAGCAAGAGTAAATGATTCATTAACATCTACGATAGAAGCCATGGACTCTGCTTATTCCAACCTAGAATAACTCTAGGTGTTCTACATCAATAACAAAGAAAACCCAGCCCATCCTCTACCTCCACAAAGCTCCAGCAGCTCTCAATAGCTGTGTTTAGAACTGAACTACGGTATGAGTCCAGCAGAATTAAGACTTGAACATATTTAATTGGGAGAATA